ATTTACCGCTAACATGGTAACGGTGAGGCCTCACCACAAGGCCTTAGCCTTATTTACCGCTAACATGGTAAAGGTGCGGCCTCACCATAAGGCCTTAACCTTATTTACCGCTAACATGGTAACGGTGAGGCCTCACCACAAGGCCTTAGCCTTATTTACCGCTAACATGGTAAAGGTGCGGCCTCACCATAAGGCCTTAACCTTATTTACTGCTAACATGGTAACGGTGAGGCCTCACCACAAGGCCTTAGCCTTATTTACCGCTAACATGGTAACGCAGTGGCTTCACCACAAGGCCTTAGCCTTATTTACCGCTCTCGACAGTCAACCTGGAGACCACTGACATAGTAACACGGTGGCCTCACCACAAGGCGTTAACCTTATTTATTTATTATAACTGCGCCCGACAGTCAACCTGGAGACCACTGACATGGTAACGAAGAGGCTTCCCTGCACTCATCAACTGAACCATAGGACCAGATATTCCATTATGTAGTGTTAAATGATATAAATTGTGGAGGAACATCAGACCAGGCTCCAGCCGCCCTGCAAACCCTGACCAGGATAAGTGAATAGAAGATAGATGGATGGATGGATGATCAGACCTTTTTTAGAGTGAAGCAAAGCCACCAGAGCTGCTAGGAGCTTCTGAAGCAGGACTGAGTCTCTGTCACACCTCCCGCCCCGAGCAGAGATCAGTTCATTGAGAATGTGCCATAGGGTATAATTCGCCCGCTATGAGCTGCTGGAGCCTCCTGAACATCCGTCTCCCCACGTCCACAGGTCCAGCCACACCTCGCGTTTCATATTCACACTGCAGCGATTGGACGGGCTCCCTGTCGGCTCCGTGTGCATGCGACTCTGCTCGGACCCCCGAGCCCCTCATGTCCGCACTTTACGGGCTACCTCCCGAGCATAATGTACAGACGATCATCATGGTCTATTAATGTTCCTCTGCACAGAGCAGGGTTCCAGTAAACTGGTGGTCAGAGCCTGCAGTTTAAAAGCAGCGTTAAATGAATTATTCAGTGAAGCTCAGAAATGTGTCTATTAGTGTTTTATGACCGAGGTGAAGTGTAATAAAAAAAACATCTGTTTATCTTTCTAAAAGCGCGAGTAAGACACGGATTTGAGGGCTCCTTGCAAACCGTTTTTTTTCCTGTGATTAATTATCAAAAAAGAAGGCTGTGGGGGGGCTGCACTCTGCAGACGACCTGTCTTCTCAGGACGGGGACAGTTTTTAATCGATTAGACCTTCTTCGGAAGAAGAGAAAGAGGAGTACTTACAGCTTCCGACTTAGGAGGGACGGGAGGTGGAGTCGGGACGGTGCTCGTCTCGATCTGCACCACGCTGACGTGGGATGGCCCCATGGCACTCTCCAAGGAGGAAGAAGAGGAGTGGAAGGATATCAAGTTGTGCTCCGCCTTCCCCGTGGGGTCCGACATGGCGGGATTTCCGCAGGTGTCGCCTTGACCCGCTGGGTTTTGATTCATCCATAGCTCCTCATACGGAATTTCCAGCTGCTCAGGGTTCCGGAATTCACCGTCAGGCCAATCGGGCGTCATGTACTCGCGGTCGGTGTCGCCGCCCTCGCTGGGCGTGAGGAGTTCGTGTGGCAAGATCTGCTGCTCGCCCAGTGAGTCCCTGCAGCTCTGGGAATGCCCGTCGCCGTTGGCACTGATCAGTGAGCCGCCGCCGCCGCCGCCGCCATAAACGCACAGCGAGAGGCGCTGCAGCGACTGTGTGATGTCATCACGCCCATAGCCTGGGGAGGTAAAGCCCGGGGAGGTGTAGCCTTGGAGGCACACACGGATTCGACGCGGGCTGGTGCACTCCTCCGTGAAGTCGGTCTTAGCCTCCCTCACCGCTTTTGAGTAGTCATCCGGGTTGAATTTCTCCTGGCAGATTAAGGCGCTCTCCAAAGTGACCTTCTCGAAAACCGGGTCGCCCCTGAGGAGCCCCTCTGGCAAGATAAAGCGGGGCATGTCCGTAAGCAGCAGGAAGTGGAAAGGGATCACTTCCTCTTTGCGCAGGATGCAACAGAGGACCACCGTTTTGGAGATGATGCTCACCAACTTGTAGCGGTTGCCCTCGCGGATGACGTGAATGTCGTAGGGGTTGCGGGGGGGCCGGCTGGGCACAGTGACATTGGCGGGCAGGCGGACCTTCTCGATGATGCTGCGGATGGTGTGCTCGCCCTCCTGCATCTGCAGCTCCAGCGGGCTGCGTGTGCTGAACTTTCCCTTGCACTGGAAGGGCAGGCTGATGCTCTCGTTGGTGCGGTGGTTCATGCAGATCAGGCAGGGCATCTTGCCCTTCACCTGCTTGGTGAACGTGTTGCTCTTGCCCAGCTTACGCAGGATGGTATTGAAGCGTGATTTTTCGCGCACCGTCTTGGCGCACAGGATCTCCGCCTGGCCCATGAGCGTGAGCTCGTCGCCCGTCTGCAGTGTGAAGTTGTAGGCCTCGCTGTCTTCGCTGAATTCTCCAGACACGACCTATGACAATGAGTGGTGGCAAAATGTAAAATACACAAACTAACAAGGTAACAGCAAAGAGTTAAAATTATAGATGTGCAGTGTGGGAGTCAGCTCTAAGGTGTGTGTGTGTGTGTGTGTGTGTGTGTGTTTGCACTCGATACAGCAGCTAACTACATGAACTCCGAACCCAGATCCAAGGTACTACATCACTGCCCTAAAACACGAACCTCAATGTGTCACCAAACAACTAAAAGATAAGAATGAAGAGGTGTGAGAAAGTCTTTGTTACTGGCCTAATATCACCATCCGATGAAGCGTGATAACATTATTGGACCCACGTGGACCCTCCCTGGTCACGCCATGAAGCCAGCCAATCAGACTGCGCAAATATTTGTAAATCACGCTGGAGGAAGGGAGGACTTATAAATGAATGAATGTAACTTTTATATGGTACTTTCAGCAACCAAAAAGGAGCCACTTCAATCACCACCATATAGCACCCACCCGGATGATGCAACAGCAGCCATTCTGCGCCAGTACACTCACCACACTGTAGGTAAGGTGGCGAAGGGGCAGGAGAGAATTCACAATTTAGATATAGGGGATGATTAGGAGGTCAGGTTTTAAATGGGCCACAGTGGGCAATTTTTGCCAGGACATCGGGGTACCACCCCTACTCTTTCAAAATATGCCCAGGGATCTTTTATGACCTCAGAGAATCAGGACCTCAGTTTTACATCTCATCCAAAGGATGGCGCCATTTTTATAGCACAGTGTCCCCATCACTGCACTGCGGCACTGGGATCCACACAGACCACAGGATGGGCTGACCTGTTGGCCATAGTGTCCCCGTCACTGCACTGGGGCACTGGGATCCACACAGACCACAGGATGGGCTGACCTGTTGGCCATAGTGTCCCCGTCACCGCACTCGGGCATTGGGACCCACATTGACCTCAGGGATCCACACAGACCACAGGATGGACTAACCTGTTGGCTGCACCAACACTGCTTCCAGCAGCAGACCAGCTTTAATGATTAGTCTCCTATCCAAGTACTGGCCAGGCTCAACCCTGTTCAGCTTCAGGTGGATTACCAAGTCTGACCTGCATGAGAGCTTATCTGAAGGGCTTCTTCATAAATACTCCCAACACCTGAAACATACTATGATCCATGAAAGGTACAAGAGATGGGAGATTCACTCCACTTCCTGACAGAGAGTAAGACCATTTCACTCCACTTCCTGTCAGAGAGTAAGACCATTTCACTCCACTTCCTGTCAGAGAGTAAGACCAATTCACTCCACTTCCTGTCAGAGTAAGGCCATTTCACTCCACTTCCTGTCAGAGAGTAAGGCCATTTCACTCCACTTCCTGTCAGAGAGTAAGACCATTTCACTAAACTTCTTGTCAGAGTGGAGTCATTACACGCCACTACCTGTCAGATGGACACTCTCCACGTGAGGAGAGCCCATTCAGTGTTCAGTTCCTCCCTGATCATCCCTGAGTCCTGTCCCTCTGACTGCACCAGACAACAGTCCTGGGAAGTGTGCAGTCGAGTGACAGTGAGGCGTCCCTCAGAACAGTACAGACAGGCTCCATTAGCACAGATGCTACAATGATGGTGAATGAATGAAAAGGCAATCTTGCTGTACAGCTTTTGCTACCTTATTTTCCAGGCTCTGTGACCATGCGAAGAAAGTCACATGTCACATTTGGTCAAGTCACATCGGCACTCTTAGCCTATCTGCCCCCCCCCCCCCCCCCTCAGGCCAGGGGCCTTCTAGGGTCGGCCAGGGCTGCTGTTATCCCAGACTCTCTCCATCATATGACTGGACCTCCCAAGCTGATTCGATTCTGGTCATTTTGAGATCTCTCTGTGAACTTCCATTTTTTAGCAACCAGTGGCATTAAGGTGACATAGGCAACCAAGGGCGTCACATGGGATTTGACTGGAGCTAACTCTAGAGAACAAGACTAATGGTAGTGTTTTACAATACAAGCTGATAATGCTAACTAGCTAACCCTCATAAAAGACCTATGGTTCCTGACAAAATGGAACAGAATTAAAGCTGTACAGCAAAGTGCATTCTATTGATTCATTTTTAAGTCCACCTTCCTGCCACAACCCTTCAAATAACCAATCACAGCACTCTTTACTTGCTGCTCATCACAGGGATGTGAGACGGGGGCTGTAATTGGAGTGTGAACTAGAGTCACGAGGCAAGTCACATGACACCGCAGATACTGTACTGTGCAAAAGTCTTAGGCAGGCAAAGAAAATGATGTTTAGATTATCCTCGTGTTGGTGTAAAACTATGATATTATGCCTGTCAAAGAGTGTCAGCTTAGGCATACATACAGCTAGTCAATCTGTCACTGACTTTTTAAACCAATTTATTTAATTATTTAATTGAGCTGTTGGTGAAATTTAACAAAATCGTGGGACGGCTGAGGTGCCCCTGAGGAGAAGTTTGGGAACTGAAGCGGTGTTCATCTAGCCATCCAACTACATATCAGTAACTTTTTAGAAAACAGAAGAAATTATTACTAGTTTTTATTGTTACTCTTAATTTGCACATGTTCTAATGTTAAATTGTGTTCTTTGTTCTAAGTCAAAGTACACTTGCTACCCAGATAAACAGCTTTAAACATTTCTTTGGACTGCCTAAGACTTTTGCACAGTACTGTACATCCTCTAACCCAGAGCGTGGTTCTGTGGGCCTGGGTGCAGCAAGGTCTCACCACCACTGACCTTCACGCTGAAGGTGATGGCCTCCATCACAAACACTCTGTCAGGGAATATTCCGGCAATCTCCTCCACGCTGGCGAAGTACTGCACCGGCTCTCGCACATCACGGTCCTGGTCCAGCAGCTTGAATTTCCCTGGACAACAAAAAGGCCGTCGGAAGAGTGAGCCCTGGGGACTCGGTCAAACATCCGGAGACGGGACAGAGAGACCCGGAGACAGACAGGAAGAAGAGCCAATCCATCAAGCATCTCTCAAGGCCGGGCTCCGCTCCAGCAAGCAAGAAAATCAGCCATAAAGAGCCGAGGTACATCTAATACATCACAGCGTTTACAACAACAGAGCCAGGCTGGAAGCTTCCAGAAAAAGAGTGAACCAAAAAAAAAGACTGTTCTGTAGATGCCAGCTGGGCCGTTAGTTAATCCTCCCTGTGGAGAAATGGACGTGTCGAAACAAGAACAAGTTTTTTTTTTTCCTGATTTCTTTAAACAAGAAAATAATAAATGAACCATAAAGAGTCTGAAGTCTTTTCGTCAACCGATCACACTCTCAAGCGTATCGGGGGGGCTTTATTTATTAACACATCAGCTGCTACAGTCGGAGTCGGTGTAAAATGTATGTTTGATATGCACAGAAGATGACATCTCCTCAATCCTTTTTCAGAGAATAGTAATTTGGGGAGCTGGGAACAGCAGTCTGTATGACACCCTCCCAGACGTGGCAGGGGCCCTGGGGTCGAGGGGGCCAGACAAGGGCCAGGATATTTTGAAGGGTCTCCTTCGATGAATGTCCCCCCTGCTCACGGGACAATGTCCCTGATGTTCATCTCCCCTGAATGTGGTTCACACGCCACCAAAGACCCCCAGATATCCATCCTTCTGTCACCTAGCAACAGGTTTCCTTGCCATTTAAAAAAAAGGTGTAAATCCATTTAATGACATGAGCAGCATGATTCCGTAATAAAAAACTCTGTAATTTAGTGTAATGTGGAGTCATTATTATAACCATATATATTGTAAACTGGCATTTTTATTTGAAATTCACACTATACTCATAATTTACACAAGATCAGATAAACATCACAGGACTGAAGATAATATAAACTATAATAACATACACAGAAAAATGTCACTATTAATGTGGCTGCAAGAAAGAATAAAAATTCAGAAGGTTTAATGGTTTAATTGCACTCCAGAGTATCTCCAGCCTGGAAGTTGTTTGGATGCTATGATGTTCTCCAGAGCCAGATGCTCTAATGACCATGATATTCTTGCACTCCAAACTCTCCAAGCCCATCACCATCACTGCGGGGGTGGGGGGGGGGCTTGTTATTGAACAAAATAAATAAACAAATCAATGCAGCGGAAGAACTTGTTACAATGGAGGGCCAGGGGAAAAAACAGGGCACCCCATTACCCAGCATCCACGGCAGCATTTTCAAAAGCCATGGGTGGAGTTACAGCAAACCAATGGAATGAGGCCACGCCCACTAATACCAATACATCCAATAACAGGCAGTGGAAAGCGGCATTTCTCCAGGGCAAGCCAATCCTCGGCACTGTTTGAGGACATGGAGCCAAACTCAGTAGGTTTGCCAAGCCTCTGGCTGCGGATCCGGTAGCGCCGACTGAAGCGGCATCGTACACGGCTGTGGTCACACGTACCCATGGGTATATGAATAACTCCTAATTAATATTAATCAAGCAAATCATTAAATGGCAGAAACTCAAACTGACGAAACTCTTTCTCCGTTTACCTTTTAGCCTCTGTATTAAATTGCAAATCCGAGGCTCCCTACTTCAGTTCATCCTTCCCCCCTTTTGTAAGTGGCTTTAGGACTCGAGGTTGACGCCAGAGAAACTGGACAGTCTGCAGATTATATGAAAGGCCTCCTTCAGTTGGTGCAGCTTCACACCCCGTGGAGCTGGTGGTCAAAGCCTTTGTTGCATGGAGTTGAGCTGGCTGCTGGTCTCCATGGACAAAGGGGGGTGTGAAAGCCTGTCCACCTCACCGCAGTGTCTTTCAGCTCTGGGGATTTGCATGGGACGAGGGCCAGCACTGATAGCCTTTCCCAGCCCCACCCCCCTTAAATTAACCCTTAACCTCAGTGCTCAGTGCTGTAACCCATCATGCTTTGCTGAAGCCATGCTGCGCTAACACCCAGCACCTGACAACATACTGTATTAATATCATTTATTCGCCCTTAGGACCAAAAGAGAAAACTGTTGTTTTTAAGAAACTTGATTCACTTGGATTCACTTTCTCAAAGGTAGAGCTTCAGCAACGTAACAGGACAGGACCTGCTGTGAAGCAGAGCTTCAGTAATGTAGCAGGATATTTCATGAGACAGAGCTTCAATAACGTAGCAGAATGGGACCTGTCATGAAGCAGTGCTTCAGTAACGTAGCAGGACCTGACGTGAAACAGAGCTTCGGTAATGTAGCAGGATGCGACTTGTCATAAAGCAGAGCTTCAGTAACGTAGCAGGATGGGACCTGTAATGAAGCAGAGCTTCAGTAACGTAGCAGGGGGACCTGTAATGAAGCAGAGCTTCAGTAATGTAGCAGGATGGGACCTGTAATGAAGCAGAGCTTCAGTAACGTAGCAGGACCTGCCTTGAAGACAGAGCTTCAGTAACATAGCAGTACAGTGTGTGATTTGCATCTGTTTATTTATATGGGACACTGTAACTACATCAGTCTGCATAAGTTAAAATGAAGCTCTTTTCTGAAATGGACCACTGGCTTCCTCTACGACATTTGCAGTATTGTAAATGTCCTGTAAATGTCTTAAATCAGACCTTACTGGTTATGCCTCATATTTTGTTCTCTTTCGTAGTGCCTTCATTGTGTCTGATGTCACCCCCCTTTTCTCTCCAGACTTAGTGGGATGTAACTGCTACTCGGCCTTTATGCAGTCAGCAATATAGCTGCATTTGAACATCTGTACAAAGGGGTGGCCATGGGGGGCATAAGATCATAACCAATTGCCTGTTTGCTTTTGAAAAACTCTAACATAACCTTTTGTCTCATTTTTCTATGTTGTCATAACCTGCTCATCTCACGATACACTTGTTTCACGATGCATGCTGAGATTTCACCAATTCTGGCGATAATGTAACATTCTGTGGTCCATGTTCAGGAATATATTCTGTCCTGTGACTCACAATATCCCATTAAGAAGTATATATAACAGAATCATAACTAGGGGTTCGGGTTCATGCCAAGTGCTGAAAAGTCTTTATTGACCAGTTTTAAATGGCCATTTTGGCAGCATGTTAATGTGTGTGTATGTGTGAATGGTGACCCTGAATAGGACAAGCAGGTATAGAATATGGATGGATAGATGGATAGATAAATGAATGGATGGATGGATGGATGGATGTATTTGCAAAAAGTTTTCATTATTTTAAAATGGCATACAAAAGAATGTATAAAAAGGCTGTTGGTCCCTTAACACTAATGCTAATCCTAACCCTATCCCTCTGCTCATGTGAAGTGTAAGGGGTCACGACCTTAATGAACCAGGACCCATCTTAGAAAACAGACCAATAGTGCCCAGAGTCGTGGGAAGGGGGGGGGGGGGGGGGGGACCAAGCGATCTGTCGAAGACGATACAAAGCTTTGTTTACAGTAACTGATGTAGCAGACATACAAGCGAGGAAAAGCAGGGGGTCAGAGACCACGGTCCCGGGAGGATTTGGGTTTAAGGGTCCATCTGTGAAACAATTACTCTGCCGTCCGCCGGATCCCAGACACAGTCACATACCTCTAACCCAACACTCAGTACAATCAGCAGTATGCAAATCATCATAAGGCTTTAGCAACAAACATCTGCAGTGCTATCCTCTTTAAAAATATGACTCTCGCTAGGATGCGTTGATGTCAATGTCTTTGACATTCAAAGTCACAGCTGGAGATAAGTGATAAACATTTAGGCACTTTCCTTTAATTAAAGTCGGAAACGGTTTGCAGTTTTTTTAAACACTATGAACATTACATTATCCACATGGGTATATGCTTCTATGTTTAAATATTTTAAAGAAGCCTTCACCATGGAGCAGCCTGATAGGCACATAACCCTCCTATCTGCTACGTTAAAATAAAACTTATTCAACCAATCAATACCACTCCTGTTCCTCTGTTTAGCAATTCGGTTATATAATAATAATTTCATAATTATGATTCTTTGAATATTTTTTAGTGCAGTGATTTAAGTATGGCTGCATGTCACCAAAATGCGCTTGACAAGAATCTGTGGAGATCCATTTATCCAAAAAGGCACGAGAAACAGAGAAAAGGGAGGAGGGAAGAAAGAAAGAAGAGAAAGGAGGAGTAGAACCAAAAAAGGAGAAAAAAAACCTCGGCGGGGGTTCAAGGTCGACCGGCTGCCCAACATTATAGAATATGAGAAGAAAAACGACAGAGATCGCTCTGCTAGCGCTGCTTGGCCCCCAAAGAGCTGCTTTAATAAAAGGAAGGTATAACGTACAGGCCTACAAAGGAAGCTTCCCTTGGGTAGAAAGGAGGGGTGTTTATGGTAGGCGGCCCATGCGGACACCCTCAGTGTGACAGGGACACGGGGGGATGCATCGGTGGGCATCCTCACACAAGCCGGCCGATCAGGGAGCCATATGTCGCGTGCGATGCTGAAAACGCGCTAAATCACCACACAATGCCGTCATAATGAAGCCGGCTGCACAATCCATCCCGGCGCTGCAGTATATTACCCGATTAGTAATAATTACAATAACGTCTGGCATCCTTAGGTCACTGAGTTCCTCCCCCCCCCCTGCAGATCAACGCCTTTCGGAGAGGAGCGTGTGTTTTTAAATTCACATTAAGCTGGGGGGGGGGGGGGGGATGGGGGGGCGTAGGGCTCTCTCCCTGCGGATCGCTGCTCCGTGACCGAGGGATCGACCCGCAGCCAATCAGGGAGCCGAGGGTGTCGGAGGGCAGGCGCAGATGGGGAAGTGGGGGCCTCCCTGGCCGACCGGCGGGTCTCCGAGCAGATGGAGAGGCCTGGGTCGGCCCAGGCTGCCAAAGCCTCGTCTGGGTACCTCTAGCGGCAGATAGGGTTGCACGGGGCTGATAAAACGGCCCATTTATCATCATTTGCACATAGTAAATGCTTTATCTCTGACTTCACCGTCTCTCGCCGCCCCCACGTCTCAGACTCGGTAAGAGTGACACAGAGCTTCAAAGGCGATTCAGGGAAGGGAATTACCTGGTCTCCACCCCGCCCTGCCAGAAAAACACACTTCGCTGAGCGATGATTACCGACGCTAACTAATTAACTCGTAATTAATAGCTAAAATCCACAGGCTGTGAAACGCCGCCCAGGCTGTCCCCTAAAAGCGTCACCCGGCACCTGTCACCATTTTGCCTCCACTAAGCTCTTGGTGACAGCGAGCTCCGGTGGGATCGGCGTGACACGCCATTACCTCACGGCCCGGCGCTGCCGGAGGTGCCCCGAAATAAACGCTCCGGTCACGAGCGCTGACCTCATCTCCGCCCACAGTGTGGTGGTGTCTCCCCTGGAGAGAATGTGCCCCCCCCCCCTCCACTACTCCCGAGCCTCCTGTTCTCAGACACATTCTTTTATTTCATTACGCTGGGAAAATATTTGGGGAATGACCGGCCCCTCAAACACCCCCCGCCCCCACCCCATGAAATGGAGAAAAGGTGATTACACAAAAGCAGCCTACAAATCGACTCGAAGCTGTTTTCCAAAGCACAGGAAACCAGATTATTTTGCATTAAAACATACACATTAAAACTGGGGCGCTGTGTGTCTCAGTGGGTTATGACGCTGTGTCTGTGATCGGAAGGGGGCTGGCTCAGATCTCAGAGTGATTTCACGGTTGAGCCCATGAGCAAGACCCTTAACCCCTCCCCCCCTCCCCCTGCCGTTTCACCAGGGACTGTCTGACCCAGCTTTCTACAAAAAAAAAATGTACATCATTTTGGGCAAAAGCTAAATAAATTTCACGTAAAGACTGAGAATTTCACTTTAATAATATTATTATTCATTAGAAGGACATGGCTGTGGATTTTTGCTGAAGATAAGGAATTTAAACAGTTGTGGTTGGAGATGAAATCACTCACCTCACAAGGCTTCTGTGACACGATTTATGCATTTAAGGATGACGACTTGCGCCCTTCATTGCACGACAATCGTCCCAAAACGTAAATGCCCTACATGCATCTTCCAGAATGTAGCTTAACGGGCACAGAGCAGGTTCACATGTAAAACATCTGGGGTGATATTTTTGCAGATGTGTGGTATCTGTGTTAACAGGCTGTGGTATGTAGACCCACTGAGCTGGTCTTTGGGGTCTGATCCAGCGCGAGGCTTTCACAGCTAAGCAGCGTGGGGGGGGGGGGGGCTTAGGGGAAGGGGGGGGGGCGTCGGCCGTTTCCCTCGTACCGCTGAGGCGGCTCAGTGTGGAGCTCTGGTGCAGCCATCTCACTCGCTGCCATCATCCCACTACACCGTCGCTACACGCCCTGAGGACGCCCGGTGTATGGGGTGCTTTTGCTGCTCCCCATGAAAATGGGCAGAACACGGAAATGCCCCCCCGCCCACCTCCCAGAGAAACCCCGACAGAGGACGCCCCCGCGGTTACATAATGCCCGCGATGACGCCACCCCGGCGGACGCAGATTGGCTTCCGGCTGTTAACCCCATGCCCGCCCCGAGGGACCGTGGGTATCACACGTAATCTTATAAACATAGATAGATAGATGCATGGATAGATAGCACATATCAATTTTCAACAATGTCCCTTCCAAAAGCAACAGTGCAGCGCATAAAACCAGCCTCATTTCGTAAACAATACCAGCAAAAAAAAAAGATGACTCTGGTCCAACTATGATCACGTATCCTAGAATGGACTGATAAAGTTAACTTTGAAGAAGTGAATGAGAGCCTAATTTGTGAATAAATCGGCATGATTCCACCCGCCCCGTGATTTTAGCCAGGGGACGGTGGCACAGCGGACACACCCCCACTGCAAGATCTAAACGGAAAACCATTGATAAATCCCGACTTACTGAACACGAGTATGAATCAGCTGTCTGACAGAAAAAGCCGATGTTGTTAACAAGCTCCCCCCCCCCCCCCCCGCGAGCCACTGATGAGGACCCATCCTGTCTGTCCATTCAGAGCCTGCCTTCAGAGACCTGTGATTAAGTACACTGGATCTCCATTATGCATTATTTATTTATTAGCGAGCCCGGAGCAGGCAGCACTTAAGGCCGTCCATTAACTGAACTTCCCCCAAAGCTGCAGTGACCTCAGGCGCTCAGAATAACGCAGAGATCCGCCTGCCCACCATCTGTCAATAATGGCCCCCACCCCCAGCCCCCGGCGACCTGGCGCCGGGTCCGGCTCATGCTATCCCCCCCCCGGTTCAACTCTGACCTCATCTCCTCCTGCTGTCACCTAAGCGACCTCGCGGCGGGAGTGTCCGGCCCGATCCGCGGGTCGCAGACGGCCAATCAGATTAGGTACGCGTCCTCCTTTCCTGTTACCCCCCCGGTGTGCTAATCATCCTTTTAAGGAGCCTCACGCTGCATGCGCATAGTTTACTCTAATTACTAACAACCTTTTAGAGAGTTTGGGTCAAGACTTGGGCTTGAGGTTCATATTGAGCAGCCAGACACAGACTCTTACATCAGTAAGAAGAGGCAGAGAGATAACCTTCAAACAGCATCTTATGGCAGCGACCAGGAACCCTGCGCAGGTTAATCATGCGATCGCTGCTCATCACAGCGGCGAACATTCAGCTGAGCTCATTGTAAAGGATCCAGAGGCAAAACACAAACAGCTCTTGACTTAGTAATGAGTCAATTACACTTTATATTTTCATTTATTTAATATGCTCTGGGCAGGGGTGGTACTAGAGATTTTGGGCCCCCCACCCCAGACCAATCATCTTCCCAATTTTTATGGCCCCTTACATATAATCTGGGGGTGCCTTACATCAGTCGAGAGCTGCCTGCATTTGGGGAAAGCAGAACACGCCCAGATTAGCAGACGTAGACGAGCAGAGAGATTCCCACCTGGATACTGCAGAGGGATGTCGATCTTGGGCCCGATGACGTAGTGACCCTCCTCCAGGCTGTGTGCCGTCACCGTGGTCCACTGCCTGCAAGAGTGAAGCAGCAGCACGTCCTGCTCGCTCAGGCCCTCTACGTGATCCCCTACGGAGACGGACAGCTGTCACTCAGAGAGCCAGGGCCACACGGCAATCCACGCGTGTCAAGGTCAGCAAGGGATGCCACCCACTTTGGAATCTCACATCATACTGAGGTGTTTTTACTAAATGACACTGGCAAACTCCTGTCTGGAATCCCACAGGAACAACTTAAATTCATAACTGCATCACCTGCACGTAACAAATGCAGGAACTGGCATACACTGCACCTTATACACAGTTTTTTATTTTTTAACTACTGTCCTTCCACTGAAAACTACCGGTACTTACATTTGTAAACAAATATACAATCAAACCCTCAGCAGAGCCCTATTCGAAAGCTGCACTATGTACACCATATATGTTACTTTATTCTGCACCATTTTGTGTGTCTAACTTGTTCTGTGTAGAGCCACATTTCAAGTCTTGGACAAACTATTTCGTTTCACCGTCTGCCTGCATCTTTTGAAATGACAATAAGTTTGACTTGACTTCACATGGAAATTACACACTTCTGGGGTTTGAACCTTCATCTGTTTCATATCTGTCAGCATGAGGCCCGTTTGAGCGTCCTCAAAACAGAAGCTGACAGAACCTCACATCCAGAGGAGATGGGAATTATATTCCCATGCCTTCCCCGGGGGTGGGGGGGGGGGGGGTCCTCGAGGTATCAGACACCCATCTCCCTTCCTAGATTGGTGTCATGGTACTGTGGAGTAATGAATGAATGTCACTTTTCTTGTGGGCAGTGGTGGCTTAATGATTAGGGAACCACACTTATAACCAAAAGATTGCTGGCACCACTGAGGTATCCTGAGCAAGGAACACACACACACACACACACACACACACACACACTCACTCACTCAATCATACACACCCAGGGATGGAACTTAAGAATTTTTGCTAATAGCTGACTATTCAGTAAAAAATGTAGTGCAACATGCAAATTTTTACTATCCAGAGGTCTAGTGTTCAGCATTTGTATTCAACCTTTGTCTAAATTACTCACTGGGGGGCAGTTCAATATCCAGCCCCCCCCCCTCAATCACCCACACACACAGCACCCTGACTTTTAACAGAGAATCCAAGCTAGTGCTACTTGGTACTTGGTTTATTAGTTGGTTTAGTCCTTTATTTTCTCACTGATGGGATATATGATACAGTACATAAAAAGTTAAATTATACTCATTATAGCTGAGTAACAAAGATAAAACACAGAAAAAATATATAAATTAAATAAAATGCTGGATAAATGAAAGCAATAGTGGGTGACACTTTCAGGATGAGTGACAATGACACACAGGCTGTTTGGCTCTCAGAAGTGGGAACGGTCATGACCACTGTCTTCACGTACGGTTGGATATAACATCCATTGTTAATAGGGGCTTCTGCGTGAATTATGCTTAAATTCAGGCTGTGCGATGGGTAGCACCCTGCTCTCACACCTCCAGGGGTGGGGGGTCACAATAACCCCCCCCCACTGTGTGTGTGGGGTTTGCATGTTCTCCGTGTTTCTGTGTGGGTTTTCGCCCACACTCCAAAAATATGCTGTTCATCTGATTTAACCTTAGTGTGTGCCCGCCGATGGAGTGGCATCCTGCCAGGGTGTGCCCTCTGCCTCCTGGGACACTCCAGGCTCACTGTCTCCCTGTACTGGAAAAGCAGTTGGAGGATGGATGGATGGATGGATGGATGGTTGGATGGATGGATGGATGGATGGATGTTTAGATCCTTATGCTACAGTTTCTGAAAAAGTACCACCTGTGAAAGCCAGGTTGACGATTTGTGGTATAAACTGAGCACTGGTTATGCAGCAAAAGGTAGGGGGCGCCGGCACACTGATGCACCACTGGCAAGAGGCAAACATAGCAGACGCCCGTTTGCCTGCCGACCGGCACCATCTGGGGTGGCCGTCAGTGCGGGGGGGGGGGGGGGGTCGCCTGCCCCACAGATGGAAGCCCATGGGGCACGGCGTGTGGTCGAGCGACGCGAAACGGCGCTGGCCGAATGGGAAGGGTGTTTACAGCAAGCTCTCCTCGGGCAGCGTCCTGGCAGCCAATCAGAGTGAGCGGACACGGGGGCCCGAGGAGCAGCTTTCCGCGGCTGATCGCGCGATTACGTCAGCACCACCGCCAAGGAGTCGAGCAGAGAACGGGAACATGAACCGCAAAGAGGAGAGAGGAGAGCGGATGTGAAATACAGACAGAGACACAGACACACACACACAGAAGCAAAGAGACAGAGATATGCAGACAAAGAGACAGACACAGAGACACACAAACAAACACAGAGACACAGAGAGAGACACACCTATGAATTATATCTATTTTAATGAGCTCTGTGCCTGTACAAAAAAGGAGAAGTACACCCCGAAAAAAGGAAGGACACGAGTTAAGCAGCAGCTTAGATGGTCTTTCCTCGCCAATGAAGTCAGGCACCTGAAGAGAATCCTAACCCCTAACCCCCCCGGACTCTGCCTCTCTGGGGATGAATCTCCCCTCAGACACGTGTGATCCGCACTGCACTCAGCAATAGACCAGATAACACCGCGTCAATTTACGTGTTTATTTAATTACTTATGTGTCACTCTTCAGACATAAATTCAGTTCTTATGGAAAGTTCTGGAATTAAGGTCCCAGTCAGCTGCTGCCCCGGCTGTCATTACCATGCAATCCACATGTGTCAGACATGTTTTGGCGCCCTGTGCTCCCGCAGGACATGCCTGGAACATGCTTCAGTGCTGCATGTGGGTGTGGAGCACTGCATGCGGTCCAGCTGGCCGGAGCCGCCCTCGCTCTCTATAGCCTGTGGGCCGTGCTGCGTTCCAGCCAGTGCGCTGGCGGGGAGGGGATGGGCCGAGGGCGGGGGGGGAAGGCCGGGAAGGGTGGGGGAAAGGGCCGGGGGGGGGAGGTGGAGGGGCGAAGTAGGGGAGGGAAGGGCCAATGGGCCAAGGGCAGAGGGAAAGAAGACCGGGGGGGCATGTCTGCGGGTCTTTGAGCAAGGCCCTTAACCCCCAGCTCCCTGGGCGCCGCTACGGGTGGCTGCCCTTTGTGGACAACTTACTCTACAAGAAAGAACGAGTTCAGGGAGGCGTAAAGACAATTTCCCCACGGGGATCAATAAAGTTTCGATTATCAAAAGGGCCGAGAGCGGGGGGGCTGAGGTGCCAGTGCGTCGTGCGGCAGAATGGAGGGACTTCCCCCTTTTTCATGCCTGACCGCTGTGACAGCAGCATGTCACATGGGGGCTGTGGGGGCAATGGGATTGTTTGGGGTGGTGGGGGGGGGGGGGGGGATTGTGTGATGCTACCATAAGGCGACTCTGCTCAGCCCCAGTAATTACACAGCTTTCATGTACATGCCTCACCCCCCCAAGCTGATCCGCCAGCCCCTCCTGATCCGCATGGCAGCCCCTAATACAGCTCTGCGCATCGCATAATTACTCAGAGCGGCAGCCGTTTTACACGCAGCCCCCGTGTGTGAGGAGACAGCAGAGGCAGAGATAATGCCAGTCGCAGCCTTAGTAAAGATACACCGGGGGGGCTTCTATTTTACACAGGGGGAGGGGGGTGTGGCTCAGTGGCTGTGATTGGAAGGTCATCGGTTCAAGTCCCATGGTCGGCAGAGTGGGATTTCACCGGTTTCATTGTTGGGCGCTTCTGCAAGGTCCCTAACCCCCAGTCACTCCAGGAACTGACTCACCCTGCTCTGCAAAAATGTACGATGATTTTGATAAAAGTGTCGGCTAAATAAATAAAACTGTAAAAATTCCCACAGGCACTCAGCCGGCCGGATAATCAGAGGCCTGTCAGCAAAGGCAGCCTCACCTGTGAGGCCTCTGAGGGAACATGGTCCCTGCTCTATAGTTAAGGTCCATGAACAGGGATTTAGCCCTTTGCAGCTCACTGGTGGCTGTTCTGCCTAAAGCCGTGTTTTAAAGAGGAACAAATGTCTCAGATGAAACGCAAGGCTGGATGATTTAATGCTGCAAAAACACTTAAAAGAAACTCTGAAAGCAGGCTGGCCCAAGCATCAAAAAAGCACTTAATGACTTTGGCCTGGGGCTGGTACCAGCCTGTGTCTGTCACAGGACTCACCTGCGCCAGGTAAGGGAAATAAATACGCGCACATTCCTATCATTGTGGGGACTCTCCATTCATTTCCATGGGCATAACCCTAATCCTAACTATGATAACCTTAACCCCTACCCAGCCCTAAACTTAACTATAAGTAACCAAATAAAATACAAGACTTTTGCATATTTTAGTTTTTTGATTGCATTCTTGGATTTTAATAAAATTGAGGTTTATGTTGTGGGGACCTGAAAAATCCCCAGGAGCTAAAAAGTAACAGGTTCTAATACTAAAATACAAACCCTGGTACCCACAGACACACACACACACACTCCCAGAGACAGACAGACACACACACACACACACACACATACTGTCAGTAAGTGCCCCCAATTTGGCAACAGGAAACTCCATGAGGTTGGAGGATTTTATAACCATTATAAAAATAGTAACAACTGCTTTCAACAGACAAAATGTGAATGCGATTGAATAAACTTGATTAAAAATAAATTTTCATAACAAGATTTCCATCCATCCATTTTCTGTAACTGCTTATCCTATTCAGAGTCCTGGTGGCTACGGGTGCAAGACAGGGACCAACCGAGGATGGGGCACCATCCCCATTCTCACACTCATGCACCAGTCTCTCACACTCATGCACCAGTCTCTCACACTCATGCACCAGTCTCTCACACTCATGCACCAGTCTCTCACACTCATGCACCAGTCTCTCACACTCGTACACCAGTCACTGACACTCGTACACCAGTCACTGACACTCGTACACCAGTCACTGACACTCGTACACCAGTCACTGACACTCGTACACCAGTCATTCACACTCATGCACCAGTCTCTGACACTCGTACTCCACTCACTCACACTCATGCACCAGTCATTCACACTCATGCACCAGTCTCTGACACTCGTGCACCAGTCTCTCACACTCGTACACCAGTCTCTCACACTCGTACACCAGTCTCTCACACTCGTACACCAGTCTCTCACACTCGTACACCAGTCTCTCACACTCGTACACCAGCAGGCAGTTTGGTAACTGCAATTAACCTCAGCATGTTTCTGGACTGTGGGGGGACACTGGAGTACCAGTAGGAAACCCCATGATGACACGGGGAGAACATGCAAACTCCACACACATGGAACCAGGACAGAGACTCAACCCCTGATCCCAGAGGTACGAGGAAAAAGTGTTAACCACCATGCCACCCACTAATGAGATTTTTTTATTCCCAAAAAGTATTAAGTGAATCCTTAATGGTTACATGGCATCAAACCCATAACCACATGTGACTCTGCAAAGCTGAAGCCTGGGTATGGTTATCACCATTTATGATTATACAATGTTCTGAATATGTTTAGGATATATTATAAAATCCACTGTATCTGTTTCCCATATTCCCGGTGACCCTGCAATGGACAGGCAGACAGATGAATGTTTCCTGTGGTTTTTGGAAAAGGTGTCATTCCTTGAAAATGATTGAGTGGTGCAGTCAAGTGCCAAATGATTCAGGCTTTGTAATAAATAGACAGCAGGGGGCATGGTGGTTAAAACAATAAGTTGTAAAGTGACAGTACCTGAGTCTGTAGGAACATTACCTGCACTTACAGGTATTGTTCAGATATCCTGTCTAGTCATATCGGCATCTTCAGACTGCCCATGTTTTTAATGAACTTTAAGCACCAGTGACTGATAGCCATTCCCGGCATGTGCACTGTTTGGTCCTATCTGTTAGCACCCAAGCAAAACAATCTGGAATGGCAGCCATCTTTGGTGGGCTCTGAGGTAGCCCTCTGTCCAAATACTCACTGACCTACTTAGGAACCTCTTACAATCTCTCAAAACATATGTTTTAACTTTCATAAACTGTCCCTTTCTTCCATTCCATTACACCACACACACACCCATTTAAGTTCCTTATCTGATGTTTTAATCCAAAAGGAACTAAAAATTAATAAGGCTAGTTATACCAGAAAGGTGGAATAGTGGCGCAGTGGTTAGTACTGCTGCCTTACAGCAAGAAGGTCCTAGGTTCGGTCCCGGGACCTTTCTGTGTGGAGTTCGCACGCTCTCCCCGTGTATGCGTGGGTTTCCGCCGGGGGCTCTGGTTTCCTCCCACAGTCTAAAAGTGTGCAGGGCAGGTTGATTGGTGAGTCTAAAGTGTGTGTGACTGCCCAGGTTTGGTTCCCACCTGTGCCCCTTGTTCCTGGGATAGGTTCCAGTTCCCCCTGGTTATAGTGATGCATGGATGGATATACCAGAAAGCAAATACTGCTAATATTGAATGAAACACTATTTCACTTTCAATATAATTCTTAGCATTCCATCTGTTGATAATAACAAAATTAGGAATCCACGATTTTGTTTAATTATAAAAATGTATTGTGTTTTGTGTTCAGCAGTTTATACAATGCAACACTACACTATCTTTTAAATATTTTTCGCCAAATAGCCACAATGAAAACAAAATGAAATGTGGTTAACCAGCTTAAGGGAGAATGTAATTAAGATTTAGTCAAACGTAGGAAGTCTGTGTGTATAGAGCATGTAATGTGACTCTGCAAAGCACTTTTCTCTGGATGATGATTAAACACACACACACACACACACAACACGTAGCAGACACTTTTGAGCCAAAGCGACACATTTGAGAAAGCGGGGTCAGACAGTCCCCAGAGTAATGGTGCCATGGGTCTTACTTATAGGCCCAGCAGTGACATCACTCTGCTGACCCTGGGCTCCAAACCAGCAACCTTCCGATTACAAACAGAACTTCCTAAACTGCTAAGCCACACACCACTCCACACATAAATTTACATTTGTAGCGGACACTCTAATCCATTATCCAGAGCGACTTCCATTTTCTAAATTCAGGGACAGTCCCCCTGGAGCAAGTTGGGTTAAGGGTCTTGCTCAGGGACCCAATGATGGTAGTGCCAGAGGTGGGACTCGAACCCGTGATCTTTTGGTCCTAACCACTAGACCACCATCACCACACACACACAGTCACACTAACAGACAGATAGACACACAAACACACACACACACACACTAACAGACATACACACACAGTCACACTAACAGACAGACAGACAGACAGACACACACACACACACACACACACAGTCACACAGGTAGGTCTCACAGCAGTTCCTACCATAATTTTTTCACCCCACTTAGCCGCCTGGATTCGGCCAACTTTCTGCTCTGCCTAAGGAGCCTTATTTGCGCACAAATTAAGGCCAATACCGACTTCGGTGTTTTTATGGTGATCGGTGCGTCTAAGCAGACCGGGCGCCGCTGCACCGAGCGCGTTTATTTCATGTGACCGGCCATTATTTTGTCTCCCAAACTTAGACGAGTCCTCCCCCACACTTCTTAGTATTCAAGACACTCGGTTGCTGATTACAAAATTAGCATGTGAATGGCTGCGGATCACTTTAGGAATACAACAGATACTTTGTCACCTTTATTTGCCAAGTCCGAAATAAGCGTTTTGTCAGGCAGAAAAGCCGAAGCAGCTGATGCTTAGTACGAAGGATATGTGCAAGTTACTTCACCTTCATGGTCAGATAAACACAGAAAGCAAAAGCTCGCAGTTTCCTACACATCAATCTTACACACGGCGCTTGCCATCCGTTATAGCTGATTAATATATTTAGATTACATCAGATAAACTTTATTGATCCCAGGAGGAAATACTTGTGCATACAACAGCAAAGGTACGCAGAGCACACACATTTAGTGCAAAACAAAATGCAAAGACAACGTAAACGTAAACGTAGCGCGCACTGATTGATGTACAGAGTACCCAAATATAATTCGGAAAAACAAACAAAATGAGTAAGAGTTCTAGTATTAAAAATGGGTAGAAATTTGAGCATGTTTTTTCTGCGGGTTTGGGTACCTTGGATCACCGTGTACTTTTCATGTGACTTGCCGTTGGAGCAGACCTTGCAGATCTTCTTTTTGCCATAATAAGTAAACACGCTCATAGGAAAAGTTAACTTGCAGATTTAATCGCTTACCTTGGCTCAGTCGCACCAGTGTCGGCAGCCTGAATTTGCCGACCACCACATCCAGAGGCAAGGACACCGAGCTCCAGGAGATCTCGGAAATGCTCGCCGAAAACTTGTCCATCTTCCAGCATCATAAACGCTACGGACGCCCGACGGACAGCACCATGGCGGGGAGCCGCTGCTTTTCTGCGGGGCTGCCTCCAGGTTTCGCCATGTTGAGAGGTGGATGGGATCCCTCGCCCCCAGGGATGTGTCAGTAGCAGCACCTCCTCCCAGAAGCTGTCAGCATGGCATGCAGCACCACCCTGATCCACAGACGGCAAATCAGCATCCCGGCCGCGATGGGCTCCGGGGACTCAGCCTGGGAGCTCTTCAATTCTCTAATTTCTGTTAAAATGGCTGCTTGTGCGTTGAGACCCAGTCAGCCTGCTGAAGTTTACAAGTCGTTATGTCAAGCGTTGGTGATGCTCACATCAGCCGAGCCAGATGAAGGACTTAAAAGCTGAAACATGCCGCAAGCCGTACTTCACTGTATGGTTTTAGTATCTGTATTTCGCTGAAGTTTCTTTCATGGATTTGTATATCCTGGTTATAACCCAAAGTTTTCGTGATACACCTTTAAAAATTAATACGTTTATTTCACGTTATTTCCCCACTTGACTGGGGCTTATCTTGCTTCAAACGTAGTCTCGGGTCTGGATGAAGATACGGTGTATTTGTAGGCCTACTGCCACGAGGAAGTACGGCAACGCGATGATATGTGTGTGTGTGTGTGTGTGTGTGTTAGTGTAAAGCATCAGGCAGGTGTTTTCCTAAAGATTTCTGCACAGCCTGTCCAGTACAATGTATAGTACATGGCCGTATAGTACACGGCCTTCAAGCGCCGGCCATGACGTGACTCTAAATTAGGTAAGTTAATTATTCAGTCCCCCTCGCAGGTACAGGGTTCGTTCCCAGAGCATGCTTTATAAATTTATGTTCCTTCGTACACAATTGTACAGGTCTGTTTAACAAAGAACAATGATATTCGGCAAATTATTTTTAATTACGCGCTGGGCATGGCTGGATTACTATTATTATTGTAACTGAAAAGCAATGTTAATGTATGAGTGGTGCTTAAATTAATATTTACCAGATAAATACCCTTTTGCTTTATAGCTGAGGTTAGCTGGCAGCCAACCACACCCATGTAAAACGGCAGCAAAGCTTCGAATACTGTAGATATGCATCAGAGACCGTTTGTGTTTGTGAATGAACCACTCTGATGGGTCAGGCTGATCCGGCACTCTTCAGATTAGCAGGCCAGCAAGGAGCCGCTTCCGACTGTCCTTCTAAAACATAACGCTGGGCTAACACAAGGTAAGAAGAACCCATAATCAGTGGCATTCATGTGCAGACTACAAACACAGATGCTACCACTAACTGGTGCTTTGTAAAGCAAGTCCATTCTAGCCAAGTGTTGGTTCAGCTAACATTCATACTTCTGTGAAATGAAAATACACTATTTTTAAAGATACTTTATTGATCCCCATGTTGAAGTTCTTTACACCTGCACCAGCTTGCTCTCTGTAGGTGAGAGAAAGCTGCCCACCAAGGGTAGCCACCCATGGCAGCACCCAGGGAGCTGGGGGTTAAGGGCCTTGCTCAAGGAGCCTCAGATTTGCCAAGGCCGGATTCAATCCAGCAACCTTCCAATCATAAGCACGGAGGCTTAGCCCACTGGGCCTCATGCTGCCCCCTGTTGCCCCACACTGACAAAGTGAACAGATTAACTGATCTGATCATCAGAATCCCTCTCGACCTTCAAGAAAAGTCATCTGACCCAGGAACACCTCAGGTAGGTCGTCCAACCACTGGTCTCTTATCCGAGTCCCCAGCTGATGTCTTGCATATTCCATATTTGTTTCTCACCATTTTGCTCCTGTACTGTATGGCTCTTGCTCCAGTGCTGACTTGTACTTTTCCTTGCTCACTCACTGGAAGCTCAGCCTAGCTTCACAGATGCCAAGATGGCCCCTTGTAAATGTAACAAACAGCCATTCTGCCTGCAAGCCAGATTTCTTGGGTTTTGATGTAGTATTCAGGAAGATGACAAATTTTAATTCTCAATTTAAAGATTTATACTTGGTAACAGAATATTTCACATCGGATAGTAACCCTTCACATTTCATTCATACAGACGTGCTCATTATCTAAACAGTCAAAATTCTTCACCAAATAACTAGATGAGTAGATCACTATCATTACAGTCCAGAGTCCTGGTTATAACCGTATCAGTTATCATCTTGAATATTTAGCATCCTCTGCTGGACATAGCGAGAATAACACCTGGAGAACAGAAGTCAGCCAGCAGGGGGCGAGCATCATTCTGCTGCACATAATGTGCCTATTACCAGTTCATTTGAATAGCCTCAGCTTCAGCTTCTTCCACGAGGGCATCTAGCCCAAACATAGCCCCCCCCCCCCCATCCAGACCAGTGCTGTTACTGTACAAAGTGAGTTTTTATTGAAGTCAGAAATATGGAAGCAATGTTAACACCACATGTCAATGTCAAATTCACTCTTCTGGTATTTTAGTAAAATACAGCAAATAATGAGCAGGATACTAAGAACATGAAACAAGGGGGGTTAAGGGGATAGATCAATCTAAAAGAACATTTGGAAATTTGCCTAGTTTTAATTGACTATCAGTTAAAGTTGTATGATATGGAAGTTGGTTGCCGGTGACGTCTTGAGAGAACAGGACAGAACAGACCTGCCATGTTGATCCCACCACCTCCTTTCAAAGGCATGTCAATCACGTTCCCTTGATTTCTCCCATTTTCATTGTGCATACAGGCATCAAAAAAGCAAAATGTCCCTTTAACCATCCATTTTCCATACCCTGCACTGGATAACTGGCTAAGATCACTATCGCGTTATCAGCTTTCCATGCTTTTATGGAACAGATTCATAAGTGTTGTGGGTTCACTTTTACCCATCCATAACATCCCTGTATTTGCACAGTTCTCTGTACTCACCTGGTAAATATTTCCCCTAATAATTTGACCCACATGGAGGAGCCTAACAAACGAAAGCAAACTTAGCATACATCACACATTTAAAAAGATTCTTTAAGGCTTTGTCAAGGTTTGATTAACAAATAAATAAAACATTTAAGGTCTGACTTAACCTGAATAACGGGCAGGTGAGTAGTCCCTTAGACTTGAACCCAACAGCAACACTAAGACAAATACTGTTTTTTATTTATTTATTATTTACTCATCTCAGAAATAAAATCAAAACGGACAAACCGACCAGCAAACTCCTGCCGGTTGCTCCTCCCTCAGCAGACACTGTCATGTGACACTCGTATGCCTTTATGCCCATGGAAGGCGGGATAGAGACCGGAGCTGCGGGCCGTGTAAGGAACGGGAATCCCACACTAAAGAAAACCTGTTACAGAACCAAAGTTGCTCTGCAGTGCTCACAAAGGCTGAGATCACTTCAGCCCTTTCATTAGGGCAACTGGCCCAAATGCAATGCTTACATTACACAGATGAGTGAGTAGTTCCAATTTCCCAGCTTGGGCATAAAGCCCTTTTAGGGATTTAACAGGCATAAATTGAACCAGCACCCAGCACAGAACCAAACACAAAGAGTCCTACTAGAATTTTCTCTCAACACTGTAAGCTGTCTGTTGGTTCTGCATAGCTTCCTTAACTGCATTACCCATCAGACTTAAAGGAACTCCTAAAATGACGTGGAAATCCATATCTGTAAGAGAACATGCTGAACAGCTCTGGGCATCATATTTGGTTTCCACTTGGGTCTAAGACTTTAATACTATTGAGTCACACATCAACCAATGTGAAATAAAACACTTCCATGCAAAATACCCTCAAGAACAAAAAAAAAAAGAAAAGAAAAAAAAACAAATTGTAAGAAATTTAGCCACTGGTTAAAAAGGGTGGGAGGCAGTCTGTACAGACCCAGTAAAAGAAACTCGAACCTTTCTGCATCCCTTCCTTACAACTTTCCCACATTGACAGGTCCATGGAGGAGAAAGCAACAGTTACGAGACTAACCATAGGCGTGTGATGCAAGAGGCTCCCTCTACAGGTGACTTGCTCTACTCCATTTAAGGCACAGGACAAAATACATCCCACCCATCAAAGGTCAAGCAAGATCTACAGACATTCTCCTCATCGCTTCCTCGCCTGTGTATGCAAGTTCGTGACCAAGTAGTTAATACGTATAAACAAAAACCCACTATCGTACAAAATAGTTAAATTCTACATTTGTTTTCTTGTTTTATCCTGACCGCTCCTTGCAGATTTAACAGGCCTTGAGGTTGAGTTCAGACTAATATAAAAATAATGAGAACAATAATGTAGTGGTGAGTGACTTGAAACCTTTAAAATAAATGACAAACTGGACATGATTTCTTTTTATACATTTTTGAAATAAAAGTTATATTGTCAGCAACAAGCAGTCATGAACAGAAGAGAAGGATGGTCTAAAGGTCAGAGGGAGAAATGCCAAGGTGTTAGATTTAGACAGATGCAGTGGTTCAAGAGAGAGAGTGGGGGGGAGGGAGGAGAGGACATTCAACTGCAGCATCTGCTCTTCCATCCTGTGACACCACTCCCACTGCTGATATCTACATTTTCACTGTTGGGCTCTTTGACAGGCGTCTGCAAGACAAACCGGAGGGGGAATAGTTAAACAAAAACAAACAACAAAACAACAGAGCAGTGAAGCGAACTGGCAAAAGTACAATTTGGCAAAAGTGCTCATGTGAAACCTGAGAAAATTCGGGGTACTTTTCCGTGAACTGACACGCAACGGCATCTATCAGACAATGAAAGGCCGAAGCTCCTTATAGCCTTGGGTTTCACATGGGCAGCCTGTCTATTAATCTGTGACCCCTAGGGGTTGTGTTTGCCCATGCTGTAAGACCCACCTTTCTAAGTATGTCTTCCGCTAACGTGAGGAATGCCTTCTCGATGTTGATGTTAGCCTTGGCGCTCGTTTCAAAAAACCTAATGCCATGTTCTGTTGCGATCTGAAAGAGACGAGCGAAAGAGAATAAGTCATAGGTCCTCCAGCATCAGCATCCTACTACTACAGGTTCCCCATTAACATTTCAGTTAAGTTTTGACATCATCAGTTCCATTTTTAGATCCACTCAAGTGCAGCCTATCTGCTCATCCAATCAGAGTGGTGGTGATATACACACCAGCCAATGACAAAGCTACACATAGTAATGGAATTCAGACTCACCAATCAGTGGAAATACAGAGGGGGTAAAATATAGATAATTCCAAGATTAATTGAATGTTATATGCAAAATCTTAAACTACAGTGGCTCAGTAAAATTAAAAAAAAAAAAAGTAAAATTGTTTAATTCATTTATTACAGTTTTTGATACTGATGACACCAGAATGATATACATTCCACAGCAGCAAAACCAAGGTACCAGAGGAAACCAAGCCAGAAAGATGTTCCATATAGGCATATCTAGGGCAGGGAAGTGAATGGACCAGTGTGTGCATGCTTAATGGTCAGAATCCATCCCAGTTCCTAGCAGCACTAAAGGCCACCCATCGGAAGCATCTGGCACAAAGCAGGACTGACCTGCTCTCCCTTTGTCTTGGCCACCACCCGCTTGTCCTCCATGTCACACTTGTTGCCTAGCAGCATCCTCTCCACGTCTTCATTTGCATGCTGGAAAAGGTTAACCCTTTAGGTATGACATACTCGAAGAAACGTTCACGTCTAAACCACGTCCCTCTCCCTGCCCTGCATCATGGGCGCGCACACACACGCGGGAATGCACATCCTACCTCGTCAATGTTCCGGAGCCACTTGCTGATGTTCTCAAAGCTCTTGGCGTTGGTGATGTCATACACGAGCATGATTCCCATGGCACCCCGGTAGTAGGATGTGGTGATGGTGTGGAACCGCTCCTGTCCTGCAGTATCCCTGTAGCACAGGGGTTTGAGGGGGAAACAAACACCCCAATGTTCAAGCCCCAACACTTTCTGTGCCAATGCAGTGTACAATGGAAATTGTTTTTATGGTTATATGTAGAGATGGGCGATCCACAATTTTTCAGTTCCAATCCGATTCCGATACACAACTGCTGATACCGATACAGATTCCGATACAACAGCTCTTATTACTTTGTTATACTTTATGTAATTTTTTTTAAGCTAGTAAATACAGATGGAAAAAATGTATGACAAAAAATATTTAATTAGGCAACTACAAACATACATACTGTTCCACCTCGTTTGTTTTAAGCGTTTTTGAGGCATTTGCAGTTCGATATGAATATCTTCAAAGCAAGTATACACAAGTGGCGAATGCTTAAAATTTGAACACAGTTTTTCTCCCTTTGGCGTCAGCGCAGTTACACTTTTGTTGCGATGGCAGCCCCTCCTGTACCACAAGCTGCAGCGAGTTCGCAGGACAGTCCAGGTTAGCGACTCCCACATCATCCATTGCTTTGTTTTGTCTCGCAGTTGCGTGCGCTTTGTTAAATGGGATTGTCAATTAAACGCTATTCTTACCGTAAAACTTTATTTTACATAGATTGCAAATCGCTCTGCTACTGGTTTCTGTTAAAAGCGTAAAATACTCCCAGATCGTCACATCCTACCCTTCGCAGTACGAGGAGCGTAAGATATGTGCATGACGTCAGAGCAGGGGGAAGTCACTGTACTCACACCCACTGAGTAGCAAAAAAGACTGAGGGGCAGCGATAGCGTTCGATTTGAATGCCGCAAAAAAACACATGTAAAATGGGAAAGAGTTGTCCTGTGATTGATTGCCAAAAACTAAATAA